TTCTTGCGGATTTTTTCTTCATGAGACTTTGTGTTACTGCAACCCCACCCTGAACACAGTATTGGATTTCTCCCTTTACTGTGTCCCTGTTTTGCAGAATGCTTTCTTGGACATAATAAAACTTTTTATTTTTAATCCTAAGGACTGTCTATGTTGTTCGTCCCTGTATCCTCACTTTCTTAAACAGAACCCAGCATTTACCTGGTATTCACTGAATATTTGTGGAGGGAAGCATCTCGACCCTTGCTGGAGGTACAATCATGACTATAACATGGCCCCTGCCCTTGAGAAGCTTGCAGGCTAGAAGACAAGCTTGTAGTCCAGAGTTCTCTGGCTGCGTTTCTGTCTTTTAGGGACCCTGAATGAGACAGAACAGCGAATATGATCTTTAGCGAATCTGCTGCTACTCCCTGGAGTCTAATCAATCCTCAAGATGATTCCAGGACAAACCAGGCCCCTCTCGGCCTCTCTACAGGAGCAGTCATGGGCTCTCTTGGCGACTCAGGCAGCCATATAGAGGGAGACGTTCCAGCCTACAGGCCCGATGAACCTCCTCTATTAAGCAGAATGTACCAAGTCAACTTTATTACAGGTTAAAGGTTGTGCTTTCTCCACTATTACAGAACCATTCACACAGAATAATTTTAGTCAGACCAATTGCCTACCAAGTAGAATGATGGAGACTGAGGAGCCAAGCAGAAATTATGGTCTATAAGGGTTTTTCTGCTTCGTGTGCAGAAACAGCCTCCAGCTGGATCTCGTTGAGCCACAGACTAAATCACATTTGATTCAGCTACTTTGCTGCACGTGGTCTGGGTAACACTATGGCAGGGACCCAGAGCGGCAGTGCTTTCGTTCACATGGTGTGAAAATGGTGCGTAGCAAGTTAGATAGACGGAATCTTTTGGTCTTACTTTTATTTGTTCTGGCCGTTTAAAATCATAGGAATAACTTCACACACACACAAATATCAAGGAATTTGAACACCTGCTACATATGTTGAATCATAGCATCATTTATAGAGATGGTTTTGGTTAAATTTTACTTTGCTCATGAGTTCCTTATATATATGCATGTACGTATGTATATATGTATACAATAGTAATATATTTCAAAGTGTGATTATTATGTGCCACATATTCTCTAGGTTTTATTATTTGTTCATTAATAGCTGATGATCTTGGGAATGGAGACGTTAAGTAACCTACCTAAGGTCACACAGCTACTAAGCAATAGCTGAGATTTGAGTTTAAGCGGTTGGAATAAACAATTAGGCCTATTACCCAAACTAATTTCCCCCCCTCCCTCCATCCTTGCTCCCTCCCTGCCTCCCTCCCTCCCTTCCTTTATTAAGTCACCAAACATTTCTTGAGTACTTATTCTTTTTTATGCACTTAAACACAAAGAAGCATGTATTTCAGAATTTTACAGAACTTATAGACAAGTGGGAAAAAGAAGTGTGTAAATAAAGTTTACCTCGAATATAGTGAATGATCTAATAGAGGTATGTATGATGTATTATAGGATTGGAACAATGTAAACTCTATGAAGTCACCTTTAATGTCAATTCTGTTGGCCACTCTATTCCCAGACTAAGAACACTACACTGAATCTATCAGGTGTTCAAAAATATCTGTTGCTTGAATCACTGAAAGCAGTCTCAAAGAGATGATATTTGACTTGACCTGGCCTATTGTAAATTCCAAAAAGGGTAAAAAAAAAAAAGTATTTTAATTAACGACCAAACATTTATCCAGTAAGGTGCCTTACTATGTGCAGGTATATCTTTAAGCACTTTGTGAATGTGGACACATATAACGTCCACAACAATGGCTGTCGTTCACTGCCGTCGAGTCGAGTTGGCCTCGACTCATGGCAACCCCATGTGTAACAGAAACAGAACACTGCTCAGTCTTGCAGCATTTACGAGATTGATTTCAGATCTGACTACTGTGATCCACAGGGTTTTCATTGGCTGAATTTCTGAAGCAGACCACCAGGCTTTGCTTCCTAGTCTCTCTTAGTCTGGAAGCTCTGCTGAAACCTGCTCAGCATCAGTGCAAGCCTCCAGCGACAGACAGGTGCTGGCTGATCATGGGGCACATTGGCCAGAAATCAAACCAGGGGCTCCTGCAGGCAGGCGAGAACTCTGCTACTGAACTGCCACTGCCTTCATGACAATCATGAACCCTGTTTTCCAGATGAGAGTCTGGAGTCACAGACTGGTAATTTGTCACAGCTGGGCAAGTTAACCTCCAGACATCTCTAGATATCTGTTTCTTCATCTGCATACTAAATAATAATACCCATTACAAGAGGCTTCAGGAGACATTGTATATAAAGTACTTAGCACTGTATTTGACTCAGTAAATGGTGGTTATTATTTAAATAGTTCTAATCACGGAGACTGATCCGTCACTTCTGGATTCATAATTCTATGTGTCCTATCTTAGCAAACGTGACTTTGCTCTTAAGAAGAGATTCCCGCCTCCCTGGGTCTTGGACTTTCTGTTAGGACTTTCTAGGGCTGTCTTCCTTGGCCCCAGTCACTTGAACCCTCATGATAAAAATTCCATGCCACTAACTCACCTTGTTAATTGCTCACCAGAGGAAGTAAAAATTTCTTAGGCTAAATTTTATAGTTTGCTATATTTTGGTCTCGTTATCTTATCGTGGAGCCTAGGTGGCGTAGTGGTTAAGAGCTCAGTTGCTAACCAAAAGGTCAGCAGTTCGAATCCACCAGCTGCTCCTTGGAAACCCTAAGGGGCAGTTCTACTCTGTCCTATAGGGTCATTATGAGTCGAAATCAAGTTAACAACAATGGGTTTGGTTTTTTTGGCTTTTGGTATCTCATAGTAACCCCTGGGTGGTCCAAACGGTTAAGCTCTTGACTACTAACAAAAAAGTTTGGTGGTTCGAACCCACCTACAGGTGCCTCAGAAGACAGGCCTGGCAATCTGCTTCCAAACACTCACAGCCTTGAAAACCCTATGGAGCAGTTCTATTCTGCGCATGAGGTCTCCATGAGTCAAAATCAACTTGATGGCTATTAACAAGAGCAACAATAATTTATGTCATAATATTGTTTTTGTTTTTTTTTTTTTGCCTCTCAGACATGTTTCCTTTTCTATACAGGAGCAGAGATCACCGTTCTTTACCTTCACATAAACAGAGCATTTCCTCCCTCCTCTAGGGGATGTCTCATCTGTCCTTTGTAAGTATTTCTTTCAAATCTCAACTTAAAACCAATTACTTATATTAATCTTTTTGCAACTTTTCTAGCCTCTTTTCATTGATCCTGTATCAGCTGGAATTTGATTAGAAAAACATAACCACTGGGAAAGATGCAGAATATGGGATTTATTATAGGAACTCGAGCTTACATAATCGTGGGAGTTGGTTAAACACCTTACATACAGCTGTTGTTTCTGCATCTGGTTCTGGGGATGACGTCAGCAGGATACACAGTGAGAAAGAAAAGACAGACATGGCGTGGGGGAACGAAGGACAACAGAACCCACAAGGACAAGCTAGAACTCATGTAGGTCTCTCACGGCCAATAAGCCTCCAATTTTGATGATGCAGGTGACTTGAAGAAAAGCTGGTACTCTTTGTCACAGAACTAAACATCTACCTGGCTAAGATTTAGAGGAGCATAAGGAGGAAATCCAGTGGGAGCTGGGGAAACTGAGCTTGACTGCTACACCAAACCAACAACGTGAGTCAGCTCGGTGACAAAGTTGTTGAAGGGCAAAGGAGCCTGCTTCGACCTGCCGAGCATAAAATGGATATGGCCGTGCTTCAATTCTGCTTTTGAAATCTCATGCAAAGTATCTTTGTGGTGCACACTAATCAGGAGCCATACTCGGAATGCAGCTCTGGGAAAGGCATTTGCAGTTCGAGCTGGCCCAGAACACTGCACTTTTCCCCTTACAGCTTGGCGATCATACATACCTCTTTTCACCATCCCTGATCCAACTTCCAGACAGAGACAAGGTCAAAAGGACGTCTCTCCCTAACATGATACAACTATCCCTTACACAACTGAAAACACACGAACTCTTCCACTTTTGTTCTAGATGAATCGTCTTTCCCCTTGGTATTATATAACTTAAGAAAACTGTTACTTAAGGTTAATTACAATTAACACCTCTGTTAGATGATAGAAACGGAAGAGGAGAAGAAAAACTGGTTAAAATAGACACATTCTACATTCCAGGCATATTCCTCCTTAGCGTCCGTTGCGTGGTAGTAACCCAGTTTTTTTCTGGATAGTGAGAATTAATGACCCTTGCAATTACCGTTACACTGGTTTTGTTTTTGGGCCTGTTGATTCATGGTATGAGGAGCCCAATGTGTTCAGATGGCAGTCTCAAGGTTTAGCATTTTGATGCCTGATGCCTTTGATGATTTTAGTCCCTTCTGATGCCTACTGAGTGGGTCATCTTATCTAACTGATTATTAAGATCCTCTTCTGCTAAGATTGCTTTCTGGCAAGGATTCACATTTGACACGTATATCTTCACACTCTGTCCATTTCAAAAGATCCATCCACATACTTCTTCCCCAGACCTCTTTCACTACCCATTATGTTCCTTCCAAGTCCCTGATCATTCAGCAAAATCATCAGCCACTGCCTTTAATCAGTGTATATCTATACTTCTGGTCACCTCTCCATCCAGGCAAAATGAACAACCAGGTACATTGCTCAAAGTTCTACCCACTGGGTAGATTTTTCTTCACCACTGTCCTTCAGAACCAGCTAGAAGGGGACCATAGAGTTACAGACGTCCACCTTCAGGTCGTGGCAGTATGTTGTGTGGAAACTTCTGTAAACCAGCTCTCCAGTTTTCTTCTGGAATCTACTCTCCATGAGGCTACAGATGCACGTTGAGAAGGAGAAGGCAATATAGCAGCTAAACGGGCCATGGGCATTTGGATCACCTGCTTATGCAACTTACCTGTGACTTAAGCTCAAGCTCGATTTCGTATCTGCCACTTCCATTTGATGATGCGGTGCTATTGTATTCGCTCAAGATTATGGATTTGTGGGTCAGACCACACCCAGATGGGTAATTCAAGTCAAATGGCAATTTGGTGGCACATGGTTAGCTGTTTCTCAAAAGGAGAATAATTATCTGCAAAGGAAAGCATAACTTTGCTTCAAACTCTGCTGTATGAACCACTTACAGGGCTTGCCAAAAGCTCCATGCAGCTTCTCTATCTGACAAGCACCATCATATCTTATGGGTCATACAGCCCAAGTGACAGACCAACTTGTTTGGAAGCCTGTACATGTTGTAGGGCCTTCTCTTATTCTGGGCCCCCTACAAAGCTGGGAGGTTTTGGAGTTACTAAGTAAGTGGGTCAGCACAGCATGAGCAAATGAGACCTATTTTTCGTCTAACATTCAAAGAGGTCCCATTAATGTTCTCTTTTAGTAGTTGGAGGGATCAGATGCAGTAACTTGTCCTTCATTTTGGAAAGGATGTCTTGACATGCCCCAGACCATTAGATCTTGTTACAGCTTGAACTGTGTCCCCCAAAAATATGTGTTGCAAATCCTAACCTCTCTGCCTGTGGTTATAACCTCATTTGGGAATGAGTTTTCTGTTACGTTAGTGAGGCAGGATTAGGGAGTGTGTTTTGAGTTAATCTCTGACAAGAGATAAAAAGAGCAGATTAGGCAAACAAAGGTGGAGGAAGAGAATGTCAAGCCACATGAAGATCACCTAAGAGCAGAAGCTCGAAAGAGACAAGGGCTTTCCTTCAGAGCTGACAGAGAGAGGAAGACTTCCCCTAGAGCCGACACTCTGAATTCGAACTTCTAGCCTCCTAAGCTGTGAGAAAATAAATTTGTTTGTTAGAGCCACCAATCTGTAGTATTTTTGTTAGAGCAGCACCAGATAACTAAGATAGATCTCTAAGAATTTTATGAGGTGACAGGCCCCTGAAGTTTTGTGGAATTTATTTCCTACCCACTGGCACAGACGTATCTAAACAAAGATGCCTAGGATAGCTGCTATTACCTTCTCACCCTGCCCTATCAGCTAAATATTGTGAATATAATGGATCATCATGATATCTCACTGGATGGAGAGGCAGTTAAGGTCCCTGCAGACTAGATTATGATATAAGGCTGGAGGATCGATATAGTGCTGAAGTAGAATAGTGATGATATATTGTTGGCTTTACCAGTTGAAAGTAAGCTGCTTCTGATGATCTTTACTAACAGGTAAGAGCAAAGAGCATTTGCCAGATCAATAACTCCATACCATATGCCACAGGGGATATGTCGATTTGCTTCAGCAAGGAAACCACATCTGAAAGAGCAACTGCAAATGGAGTCACCATCTGGTCAAGTTTATGGAAATACACTGCCATTCTCCGAGATCCATCAGTCCTCTACACAGGCCAAATAGACGAGTTAAATAGGCTGTGGTTGAAATTAGTGCCCCTGCATCTTTCAAGTCCTTAATGGTGACACTAATCTCTACAATCTTCCCCCCGACACCAGGAATGCAGCATTGTTTTTGGTTTACTATTTAGGCGGTTTTGGTGACTTCCACTTAACTTTTCTTAACATAATAACCTCCACTCCACAGGTCAGGAATCCAAAGTGAGAATTCTGCCAGTTGCATGTCTATTCCAATCATGCATTCTGGAATCTGGGAAATTATCTACAGAGTGAGTTTGAGGACTCACTGGCTCACTGTTGAATAGACCTAAGCAAAAACTCCATTGATCTCCAGACCTCCGTTGACTTCTACTATAACTGGTGAATCATAGTGGTGTGTTAGGTCTCCAGGGATTAGTTTCAGTTCAGAGCCAGTGTCTAGCAATTCTTGAAAAGTCTGATTATTTCCTCTTCTGCAGTGCACAATTCTGTTATCCAGTTAAAAGGCTGCACAACCCTTTGGGGAAAGGCTAGAAGGTTTACAGTATAAATTTTGGTCTGTGTAATAGGGTTGTTCTTCAAAGGTAACTAGCCTCCCCTTCATTCAAGGTGATCCAGGTCTGGGAATTTGTTGAGGGGCATGAAACCTCAAATATAATAATTTAAGTTAGGCTTCTAGAATTTTTCTGCATATACAAACCAAGTAAGGTTATTAGTAGGCTTACCCATCTATTTTAGTTCTAAGTATACCATGATCAACTACTTAACTAGACCATTTTGTTCACTGCTTTGACTCACTTGTCCATTATAATGACCGTGCCTACCTGATCTTTGGCAATTAAATGCCACCACAGGATTCTATCATCCACATTAAATTCAAGAAGCCCAGTTCTATTAGTACAGTTTTAATTGTCAATTCTGGCCTACTGATAATATCTACCCCAGAACTCTTCAGGGATGCCGGGGCTTCCCTCATGAAAATATTTCTCATGGGGGTGGTAGGGGGAGTATCCTCTAGAACCTCCAAAGGGACATAGTTAAGGAATGAATGAATAGGTTATACATTATGAATCCACTCTAGCATTCCTATCTCCTTGAGCATTTGGATGCCTTCTTCTAAAGTACTGAAAGGAATTTCTGCCATTTTAATTTCATTTAATGTAGATCATCTTTGGGTCATGTCTCAGATAACCAACCAATCAAACTGCTAGAGCCATTTCCATGTTGAATCTAGAATCTCTGCTTAATGAGCTCATATCAATTAATTCATCTTGATACAATTTTATATTCCTTGTACCCTGATCTTAAATTGTTAAAATCCATTCCCACACATGTTCTTTGGGTTTCTGTCAACATAAATTGGAAAACCCATGCAAGCCTTTGGTGTGTATCTCACCAATGCACAGTCTGCAGTGTTTTCACCCTCTAGAGTCTGCCTGGGCTTGAGTCTGGGTAGCAATCTAAAAGCACTGAGAAGGGTGCGGACGGAAAAACACTAACTAGATAGTTGATAAGTGGTAACTTTGGTGAAAAGTAAGACAGTACACAATACTGGGGAAGCCAGAACAACTTGACCGAGGCAAAGTCATAGAAGCTTCATAGACAGATCCAAACTCCCTGAGGGACCAAGTTACTGGACTGAGGGCTGGGGACCACAGTCTCAGGGGACATCTAGCTCAATTGGCATAACATAGTTGGTAGAGAAAATGTTCTACATCGGATTGTGGTGAGTAGCGTCTGGAGTCTTAAAACCCTGTGAGCAGCCATCTAAGATACATCTACTGGTTCCCCCCTGTCTGGAGCAAAGGAGAATGAAGACAAGCAAAGGCACAGGGAAAGATTAGTCCAAAGGACTAATGGGCCACAACTGCCACAGCCTCCAGCTAACTGAGTCAAGAACAACTAGATGACGCCTAGCTACCACCACCGACTGCTCTGACAGGAATCGCAATAGAGGATCCCGGATAGAGCAGAAGAAAAACGTAGAATAAAATTCTAACTCACAAAAACAGACCAGACTTACTGGTCTGACAGAGACGGCAGAAATCCCAAGAGTATGGCCCCTGGACACCTTGTAACTTGGTACTGAAGTCACTCCTGAAGTTCACCCTTCAGCCAAAGATTAGACAGGGCCATAAAACAAACAGTAACACATGTGAGGAACATGCTTCATAGTTCAACCATGTATACAAGACTAAATGGGCTCACCAGCCCAAAAGCAAAGACTAGAAGGCAGGAAGGGACAGGAAAACTGGACAAATAGAAACGGGGAGCTTAGGGTGGAGAAGGGGAGGGTGCTGATGCATTGCAGGGTTGGCAACCAATGTCACAAAAGAATTCGTGTATTAATTGCTTAATGGGAAAATAATTTCCCCTGTAAACTGTCACCTAAAGCACAATGAAAACAAAGAAAGAAAGAAAGAAAGAAAAGCACGGAGAGGTAGTAGGAGTGGATCCTGAGGAAGATCAGCAGGCCCGAGCAAGGAAGGTTCCTCAGGGAAGGTCATTGCAGCTACTTCAGGCAAGGGGAGACTCACTTCCTCAGACAGGGGGGAAGGGCTGACTTTCTGCCAAAGGAGTCTGAATAGAATTTGAGGATTCAAGGTCTTCAGTTTCACTAGATTCTGTCAATATGCTCCCATCTCAATTTTCAGAGTCTCATTCCTTCCAAGGCTAGTCCATAATTTTAATATGTGACCCTTGACATTGGGAATTCAATTTGTCAGTCAATCACCCACAAGGTTATTCTTTGAGTTTGGTTTTCAGAAATAGCGTCCCTGAAGCTAGAGAAAATAAGGGATACTTTTAGAGCAAAGAAACTTTTAGTCCATTACACAAACCTTAAACTAGTAACTGAAAACCCTGATCTCATCACGTTCTCTCCTCAAGTAATTGGGCAGTTAAAAGCAACTAAACAATACCATTAAATTCCTTATTTTCACTAAAATATCTGTAGTAGCAACTCCTTGGTCACCTGGAGTACTATCTTCTATAAGCACTTGATAAAGGTATCTAAAAACAATAATCTACGTAACTGTTTGTCCCTGCTTACCACGGACTGCCAGGGCCCCCTTTACTGTTTGAAAAAAAGGCTCATTACTGATGTTCAATCTAATCAGAACAGGGAATCAATTCTAAACAACCCAGAACCATTTCAGAGAAGCCACCCTAAGCTTCTGTTTTTATGGAACCTCTTCAGGCACTAAATTCTATGTTAGAAATACTAGGAATGACATGCACTGTGTGATCCATTATAGAGGTTTTCTCTTAGGCAATTGTGGGAGCTGGCTAAAGAGTTTCCGCAGCGCTGCCGCTTCTGTGTCTGCTGCTGGCCCTGCCGATAGCAGGGAAGGCAATCAGGAAGAAAAGGTAGATGTGAAATCAAGGACAAAGGGTTATCCACAAGGATGAGCTGCAGCACATGTCTGTCTTTCACCACCTCCCCGACTTCAAAGTCAATAGTGCTGCTAACAAGCAGGAGAAGCTGATGCCTTTTATCACAGAGCTAACGTGCACCTCGGCCAGGATTTGGGGAGCACAAAGAGGAAACCTGGGAGTTAAAGGTGCTGCAATCCTAGCTGCCTCACTCGTGGAAACACAGCCAAAGATTTGCTGACACTGAAGGAGGTTGAACAAAGACTGAAGGCTCAGTGGGCGCAGCTGCTGGCCCACCCCAGTAAAGAGCCTGCAGACGGGACACAGGTGTGCGCCCTGCACTGACCTTCTGAGTGTAAAAAGAAT